TTATTTAATATCAATTTTAATAATTAATGACTAAATTTTGCATCATAATTGCATTTATGACGAATATTTTTTTGTGACGAATAAAATTGTTATAAATAACTTGTTAATAATGTCAATTTTTTCTATCACTATAAAATTATTTTCTGTGACAGGTGTTTAATTTGTCATTAAGAGCGTTAGTGACAAGGGTTTTACTAACGGTTTAAATTTTATCATTAATAATAATTTGTGACGAAAAATAAAGATTTAATGATCAATAATTTAGTCACTAAATATGGATTTTCTTGTAGTGCAAGTACCGGTTCTTCAAATTAGTTCAAGCTTTAATCCAAATTTGTTTTTCTGATCAGCCAAGATTAGATCCAATTTCATTTTTTCAGATGCCAATATGCCATGACCTCTGCAATAAATTTTGCTTCTCGATACATATGGTGAAGTTTGTGTTGGAAGTTAAATATTTTAATAAAAAATAAACTAATATATTTTATAAATTAAATTTATTATCCTAACTTGGTCAAACTGATTGTTGCAAGTTAATTATCTTATTTAAAGGTATATTATTTCATAAAAATTGTTTAATTTATTCATATTATTAAGTTACAAATGGGAGTGTCCTATAAATAGGACATGTCTATTTGCTTAAAAATGAGTGTTCCTCCACATTCTCTTATTTTGCTTACCTTTATCTTTTAAATATTGTTGAGTAAAAAAAGGTATTTTGGGTAAGGTAACTCTATAGATAATGCAGTTCCATAAAATGTTATTACAAAACTGTAATATCATGGGGAAAACATGTTAAATATATCTCTACTACACCAGTTAATTTACTCTCTGCAAAAACGTGAATTATCTTAAAGTGAGTAAGCTTTCATACCTATTTCAATGATATTTTTTTATCAATATTTCTTCATAAGTTCATTAATTGTTATTTTATTTGATTATATGACCGAAGCATAACAGTAAGATGATGTAAATATTAAGAAGAATGTTCAAGAAACAACAGTTTCGTAGTGTTTTTTAGTCGTTCTTGCTTATTGACATTTACATCATGTTAACTGATTTCTCCTTTTGTCTAGCAAATTTCTACTGATTTCACGGCATCTTTAGGCCATTTACCATTGTGCGCAGCATTCTATCCAGCTCCGGCAACAGGCATCGGTTTCATTCTACAAAGTGATATTGCAGGGACCATGTTCCTTCGGAATTAAGGGCTATTGTTTAGTTTTCAATGTATACATATAAAAAAAAATGATAAACCATATAAGATGAAATAATTTTTCTCTGTTTTCAAATTTTTATTATAAAAATTTTAATTAATTAAGTTATCTTAAAAAGTTTGCGTGCATGGTCATTTAAAGTCCACATAATTTTTGCATTTGTGAACCAAAAATGATAGGGAAGCAGGAAGCTGTATTCTTCGTTTGAACTTTTTCCATTTTTGTTTTTTCCTTTTGCCAACGTATGACTTTTTTCTTTATTCGTACAAATAGTTTTATTTTTAAAAAATTAATTGATTAAATTTTTACACTTAAATAAAAAATTTTAATTAATATATTTAAAATTATTAATTATAAATAAAAATACTCTAATATTTATTCATAGTTAATTATTATTATTATTATAGAAATTTATAATTATTAAAAAAATTT